CCGCGAGAGTCCTCTAATGGAGGTGGAGGAGGAAGAAAGACGCTCTCCACACGATCATGTAGATCCGTGTGTTCCCGAGAGCATCTTTGATCGCGTAACGCAAGGGTTACGCGGCGATCTCGAACACGAGCGGGACAGGCGTCTCCAACTGGCGGACGCTGCCTCGAAGCATCGAGCTGAGTTTGCCTTTGCTCAGCTTGAGAACGAGAGATCTCAGAAATCTCTTCATGACGATCTAAGGGTAGCTCGTGGGATTGTCGATCGGTCTCGGCATGAGATAACTGCTCTTCAGACCCTTGTTGATGCCCACCATCGGGAGCACAAGGCTCTCTGCGAGATGCTTGAGCGCAAGGGCGTTCTTATCGGAAGAAGCAGCGTACTGATGGTACGGCTTAAGCCGACCAACGTAAAACGTGGGATGCGTTCGCATCTTACGTGGCAACTCGATCGTGTATGCATTGCCTAGGCGGTGCAATACACGAAATGGGCCGATGTACTTGGGTAGTAGTTTACTGCTACCCAAGTTAGTCACTACATGCTTTGGTAGATTAACCGTAGACAGTAGGACTAAGTCACCTTTACTAAATAAAAGAGTGTTTGCCCTTCCATTCTTGTCAGCGTTTTGCTTTTGCTTATCTACCGCTTCGGCGATGGAGTCTTGCACAAAACGGACTACCGTTTCACGAGCCAGAATGAACTCATCTGATGACCCGTTAGCTTCAGTGCGCTGTGGGTGCACTGCAGCAACATCAACCTTTTCTTCAGTGAGAGCTTCCGCGCTCTCACTGGCATCATCTTCTTCGATATCGATGTTATCGATATCGACATCCAACGCAATGACCTCACCGTCAGAGCTTTATGAGCGTGAATAAAATCGGTTTTTGCTCGCGCGAGTCTCTCCCCCCCTTAAACCAGAGTTACACTCTAGTAAGGTGGGTACACGCGGATGGCGCAAGCCATTCACGTAAAACGGTGTATGTGTCGTGGACGCATGCACCGAGTTGTTGATGGCAAACTCTACCATCGGCAAAAACTCACTCCAACTCTTAAAGGAGTGTACGTATCCTCGAAGTATCTCTTCGAGGACACGATTGGCACGTTCCGTCTGACCATCTGACTCTGGATGATCAGATGTCGACATCTTCAAGCGCGTTCCGAGTAATTTGAACACGGAACGCCAGAAATCAGCAGTGAATCGTGGATCTCTGTCTGATACGAGTTCGCGGGGCAACCCATGAAGTCGGAAGATGGTGTCAATAAAGATACAAGCACAGCAACTTGCCGTGATTGACTCTGGTACAGCCACAAGGTGTACCATTTTGCTGAATCTGTCAACAAATACGAGAATACCCGTATTCCCGCGTGCGTCTTTGGGTAACCCGAAGACAAATCCATTGAGATGGATTCCCAGCACTCAGCCGGAACCGGTAGAGGCTGTAAAGGTGCACGCGGTGATGGACTTGACTTCACTCGTTGACAAACTTCGCATGCGCGAACGTACTTGCGCACAAACTGATACTGGCGGGGCCAGTAAAAGTCTTGACTCACCGTGAGATTTGTTTTCTCTCGGCCACGATGTCCTCCTATAGGAGCATCGTGATACTCGAACATGATCCGCAAACGCAGATCAGTATCATCTGGAATGACAACACGTGGTGTGTCAGCAGAAACGGCTGTATAATACAATAACCCGTTTCGAGTAGTGCATCGATCTGATGCAGATCGATACGCAGACGATCATCGTTTCAACAATTCTCGAGATAGTTGTGAGAGATGTGTCAACAACTTTACAATCTCATCATCTTGGGAGTATGCCCGCCTCACACCATCATACAACGTTGTAGATGGGACTGAGGACGTCATAACCGCAACAGTGACTGTCTCACTGTTGGGTTTCACGACTGTTTCAAAGTCGGGACGACGTGAGAGTGCATCAGCGACGACATTAAGTCGTCCTGGTTTGTACTCGACCGTAAAGTTGTATTCTGCAAAGAATGACAACCACCGCGCCATTCGTTGTGAAAGGTGCGGCCTGTTCACTGCCGTGCGTAATGACGCATGGTCAGTGTAAACAGTGAAGGGTCTATCTCCTAATAGATAGACTCTGAACTTCGCGAGTGCATACTTCATGGCAAGGAGTTCCTTGTCACGCACCGGATAGTTCCGCTCAGCTGGTTGCAGCTGACGCGACTGATAGCAGACGACGCGTTCAACGCCTTCAAGATCGTACTGCATTGATGCACAGCCAATTGAGAAATCTCTGGCATCACAGACCACATGAAATGGCCTGTACTGATCGGCAATTGCTAGGACTGGGTAGTGTATCAAGCTCTGCACGATACCATCATGGGAGCGCTGATATTCAGCGTTACATAACCACCTCTCGTTCTTTTTCAACAAACGAGAGAGGTGCACAGTCATCTCGGCGTAATTGCGTGAATGCTTGTGCAAATACGCCGCTAGCCCAAGTAATTTTTGAAGACCTTTAAAATCAACTGGCACAGGCCAGTCGGTGATCGCCTTGATCTTTTCGGGATCAGGATGTACACCGTTCTTACCAACGATGCACCCAAGAAGTGGTATTTCGCTTGATGCAAATATACACTTCTTGAGGTTGGCATACAATTGATGCTTTCGCATGATTGTAAGAACCTGTCGGACGTGGTACCTGTGAACCTCAACGTCCGACTTTCCATCCATAGCTCGACTATGGATGAATACGTCATCGAAAAAACTCGGCGCGAATTCTCGTACTGGTCTCAACAGATGTGTATCACATCTGTTGAACGTGGCAGGGGCATTACTAAGCCCTTGTGGCATTACTGGCCATTCCCAGAGCATGCCGCTAGGCGTGCTTACTGCGGTAAAGGGTATGTCTCGTTCTCGCAGAAGCATTTGATAGAAGCCACCCATCAGATCCATGGACGAAAATATGGTAATCTTTGTCTCAACAGTTTAAACTGTTGAGCACCCTGTTCTCTCAACAACTCTGCTTGTTGAGAACCTTGTTGGTGAAGCAAGGCTACTTTCTCGCGTTCTGCGTCAAGTTCATTTTGAATGAACTTGGCGATAGTAGCATGTTGGGCATCTCTATTGAGAGCCTCTAGCATGACGCTAACAGCATGGATGCCCATGGTCGAACCCATTCGTTCAACCGCATCCCATTCGACATCGCTCAAATGGGATAGCCGTCACGCGTAGCGTGTAAGCTTTGGTCATCTTGGTCATCCAACATATTCATGTTGGATGTGAACGCGGTCCTTGGACGGACTACGAAGTGCTACCAGGTGTAACGGGGCACCCTGAAGCTTGTACTGGTGACAGTACAAGCTACTTATTCTGATAACAGAATAAAGCGGTGCCTCGTAACTTCACGTACACTCGTACGTGCAGAGGAAGACGGTAAGAAGAAGCGAGTACTTGGTTAAAGTAAAAAGTAGAACTGTATTTAGTATAGTTAATGTCTGCAATAAATCCCTATTTATCTTCATCTAACTATGTCTAAATACAAATGTGTAAATCAGTTATCTGCTCACCACTCATTGCGTGCGTCTGTCGTGGCGCGTCTACGTTGGTTGATATAATGGCCTATATCAGCCAATTAGGAACTACTTGTAAGTGCTACAGAATATTTGTCCTAATGACAATATTCTGAGAATGTAACTCTTATAGTTATGTTCTTTTAAAAATTTCTATAAATTGTTATGTAACGATTCACCCCGTTACAGGCGACCTCTAGCGTCGAAGTGGGAAATACTTGTTGGGGGTACAGCAGACGCAGGCGAATCATTCGAAGAGGTGCTGGCAGCCATTTCAGCCATATGATTGAAGAGTGAATCCTTCGACTGTAGGGTTCATCACGTTCAGCTTTTAACTCGTCCAGCTTTTTCACTAAACGGCTGAAGTCGACGTCCTAATCGGCGAGATCTCGGTTGAGCCGATCACATAGAGTCGTAAAAACTGGAAATCCGGACTGCGAAGCGATCGAGCTCGACCTAGATCGCACCCATGTCTCGCTGGGCCAAAGCTATCTCCCGCATAATCGCAGACTGGCGGGCGGAGAAGTGAGACTGTGCGTCTTCGATCTGTAGCTTCTCTTAAGCATTAACGTCCTCGGAAGACGCAATCGCTAAGTCCAACTTGTCTTGCAATGCATCCAGTTGACGCCGATGCATCTCTTGCTCGGCATGGCGGGCCGTGTTGAGCTTCAAGAGAGCTGTTTTTAAGATCAGAATGTTATCCAGGCGTTCTTCTCTATCATCCAACTCGTCTTAAAATTCTGCAACCTTCCGCTTGGCTTCTTCCAACTAGTCACGCACATCGTGATAACGCTGTTTGACGCATTGCCTGATCGGTCCTGCGAATTCGCGAACATCATGCAGCTGCCAATCCAAGCGGTCACCCCGAAATTTGAGCCCTTAATTGATCTTGGATCGCGCCGTAATCGTCCAGGGTATCTTGGCGGGCCTTAGAGCAATGCAAAAGGTCAAAGATATATGACCGCAAGGTGCGTCGATCGGCCGCAAAGAGGAATTTTATCCGGCCGCTTGGAATAGACGCAGAAGAACTCAGTAGGGTTGTTGCTAGTGATGGAGACGGGTGCGTCCGACGGGCCTGGGCGAGAAATCGACCGGTCGTCGGAACCCTCCATGCTTGCGACGACGGGTCTAAGTAAAACTTAAAAGTGGATTTGACAACTGGCGAAGTGCACTGATGCACCAGCACTGTATACCAATTATCAGCGTATGGAACGGCTGTGGTGGAGCGATTTTGAAAGAAATAGCGATCGATAAAGGGAGTGGTCTACTACGGCGACAAATCGCTGAGAGGGATTGAGTGGCTAGAGGCGCAATACTAAGATCGAATATCACAGTGTCGAGATCGAATATGACGATAGCGAAAGTGAATATTGCAATACCGCAACTAAATATCACGACAAAAAAGATCGAGTGTCAAGTTATTAAGATCAAGCCAAGGCACCGAGATTGAGAAAGTACAAGATGTTTAAGGTCGGGGATACGGCTGACAGATCGGCAGAGATCGAGATTCTGGAAGGCGATCGACAACCGGTCGACGAGATTGAGATCGATCAAGAAGACAAATCGGCCAAGGATATCGACGATCAGCGATCGCCCAAGGATATCGACGATCAGCGATCGGTCAAGGAGGTCGACGATCAGCGATCGGCCAAGTAGATCGACGATCGGCGATCGGTCGAGGAGATCCTCAATTGATTAAAGAGATCGCATTCGGGAAGAATGGCGACCGAAGAGATCGGCGATCTGTCTGAAGTGGACCACACACGCGAAGATCAATCACCGAAAGATAGAGGAAGCGTGGTAGAACATCCTAGCATACAGACAGGCAGAGTCACAGTCTTAGCTATTTGTTGGTTGACATGAACATTATTTCATTAGCTTCTGTATACACACGTCGTCTTCTCTTTCGGGCTAGAATTTTGGCCTCTCGACGTAAAGAAAGTCACTTATACTAAAACCAAGCAATATCCCCAGATCTTTGGCTGGGAATCAAGAATTCTCATACCTCCAACTGCGATTGGACGTGTGGTAAAGTCGATTAAGATCGGTGTCGTAAAACCTCAAACGAATGCCTAAGTACAGAGTGGGGACCGGCGGAATGGTCGCAGGACGAGGACCAATCACATGGATGGCACCGTTGGGATCATTCACGGAAATATCTCATTCGGTTCGAACAATTCAGAATGTCGAAAGGGACCGCGATCAGGGGACCGAGATTGAGGAACCGCGATTGAGGAACCGCGATAAGGGGACCGCGATCAGGGGATGCGATCAGGGGACTGCGATCAGGGGAATGCGATCAGGGGACCGCGATCAGGGGCCGCGATCAAGGGACCATGCCCTGATGCGATCAGACGGTTGGTGTGTCAGGTCTGTGCCACATGGATGCGAGGGGCGATCTGTAGAGGCGACGCGTGACATCTGATTTCCGAATTGTAGGGGTAAGATGTGAGGGCCTTATTGATTAACATTAAACAGAATTCAATTTGCTTCTAAACACATTCGTGTCGATCTTCTCCCGGGTTGGCTATTTTGGCCTCCCGACGTCTGAGAATCTCAACATCAAGGATAGAACGATCACTCCTGGAGCTATTTGACCAGGAGTGCTAGGACTCTCAACACACCCCTACTGCGATCGGACGCAGCCAACCGTATCGGTTGAAGTACAAGATCGCGAGACGGCTCAAGTGGCCAGAAAGGGTCGCGACTCAAGTACACATTTTGGCACAAGGTGATCAGGGCATATCACGGCGACTCTAGGAGAGCGCCAACCCAGAACACGCGATCGGGTGAGGATTTTCCACCCGATCAGCACCAATCTCTACAACGGTCAAGTGTAGCATATCGTCGACTCCACCTAAAGAGTGCAACCCGCCCTGCCGACGGGTACACAAGGTGAGGAGGAAACAAGTGCAAGCGGAATCGGAGTACCCCCTCCGTTAGTCGGTCGTCCGGGCGCCAGTGGAGAGTCGGGATCGCCTCAAAAAATGAGCGAACCCCACTCCACCACAATGGTGCGCGTGCCCGGATCTTTGGTGACTCGGGATCTCTCCGTGGGTCCCGAGATGAAGATTTTAAGATCAAGACTGAATCTGGGATTGGAGCGTCAGCGGAAGTTGGATCGCCACGGACACGTGAAGAGAAAGGATCCCAAGATTATCATAGTTTTGGAAGGGGTTATGATGACAAGAAAGTCAAAGAGGAAGATCACTAAGCTGATCTGGAAGAAAAAACTCAACCGCCTCCTGAGGTCCCTTCATGGACCACCGCGGATCGTGCTTTACAGCACGATCTGCCAGATGGAAATCCTTCAGTAAAAACTGAAAGATCTTCAGTCAAAACTACCGCCCAACAAAAGGCGAGAAAACACACTCGTAAGTTGGCCTGGTCAAAGACGAAGACGGCAGAGCCACATCGAAACAAGCAAGAGATCAAGGCAGAAGGTCAGGATGTGGAATAAGAAAGCTGGCAATTGGAACAGATCACCTGGTAATTCCATTGGCAACAACTGAAAAAACATCTTGCAGAAGACCCAGTCCTAAAGGTGCTGAAACCTAAGCTGATCGGGTCGACCCAAGGTCCAGTATCGCCACCGAAAGTGACCTCGAATCATTTCGAGGCATAGCATCGGCTAATTCAGCTGCTAAGAGACGCTGGATTTACAGCTGGAGCTTTCATCGCACAAACGCTCTTAGAATTTAATCACGATCGGGTGATCAAAGCACGACAGCTACTATTCGAAAAGCTAACTCCACTGACAGGGTCTCACAACCCTATGAGCCAATGGATCAAGAGTGAAGAAGGACATCTGAGCCAGCGAATCAAGAGTGAAGAAGGACACCTGAGACAAGAGAGAGAGAGTCAACCAACCGCAACGTGAAAGAGGAATACACGGGGTCGTCACGCTATGCCTCGGCATAATCAGATATGGACCCAGACGAGTCGTTTGGGATGCAGCGGATGTCGCTGGGACCGACAGGGGCAGCAATGCTTAAAAACAGGCTCGACCCGGCTAACAATGGAATACGATCGACTCAAATTCCGGCTTCACAGAATGCAAACACGGTGGAGACAAGCCAGTTGCAAACATATTCCAAGGCCGCCATGGACAAATTCATTCGCGATCGCGAAGAACAAGTATCTAACTACCCGATCGTCCCAGACGTCGAAATGGATTCAGTAGACTCATACCGCGATCGACCGGGAGAACATGAGTCAGAACGCAGGGGACCATATGATCTAAGACGACCACAAGTGGCAACTGCAGGAACCGCCCCTACGGGAGGTTTCAGCGCACAGAGGATTAGATTGTCGGTGATGGCCGATCTGAAAGAATTTTCAGGACGTGATCAAGACGAAGAACGTGCTAGAGGTTGGTTTAACAAGATGAAGACTGCCTTTCTACGCGATCAGGCTCCAGACCACGAGAAATGTCTGGTATTTGGAGAACTGCTCACAGGACCTGCCCGAAGTTGGTACAGCCAGTTGAGCCGATCGACCCGCGATGATTGGAAGTCGTTGTCGGAAGGCTTCAGGGTCCGATATGGAGGATATGGAATGTCAGCTGAAAGGCAATACTACCACGCGCGGAAGAGACCGAATGAAACCCCGTTGGAATACTTGGACCGGTTGAATGTAGCAGGAATGCGAGCAAAAGTGGCGTTCAGAGATGGATCGCCAGCAAGCCGACGTGAGCATGTAGAACACTTGATTGACACTTTGGATGATCGAGAGTTGGCGAAGCAACTGACCTTATTGCGAGTGCATGATGCTAACACGATGAAAGAAACTCTACGCGCTTATCAGCGCATGAGTTTTCGACAGAATAAGGATCCGAATGACTCGAACAAGTACCGATCGAGATCGGCTACAACGCCAGCCCAAGTATATTCGAATACACCACGGATGGTGAAGGCCATTCGTGCAGAAAGTGAGGAAAGAGACTCAGGCTCAAGTTCGGACGATGCAGATGAAGAATAGTTTCGCCGTAAGGTTTGTGTGACGACTATCACTGATCAGGCTGCAATCTCGGGGGATCAACGAGACAGGTCGCGAGAAACAGACCGAGATGATGATCGCTATCGGAAAGGTGTTGCGAAAGCCTGCACACACTGCGGCTCGAAAATACATGACGATCGCGGATGCTGGAAAAGATTGGCTTGTCAGAAGTGAGGCCGAAAGGGCACCCCTCGGACAAATGTCTACATGTGTGTTCCGCTTGTGGGGAAGTTCACGAGAGCGGCCAATGTTCCATGGAAGAGTTTTACAACCTTATCCGCAAGTGGTACGTCCCAACCAAGCACGCAGGACTACTACTGACCAAGGCAGAAAAGGTGTTAAACTAAGACGCTCGCCAGGTTGGAATCTGGCACGAGCCGAGCGTTCTAGGCTATGCATATATGCATTTGTGGAGCAGGGCAGGATCAATCAAGAAAGTAACAATCGTATCGACCCAACCGCTAATACATGTGATTGTAACACCATCGGTTGTGTGGCATTTCAAGTGTAAAAAAGGTGGATGAACATTTACGATCTCCCGTTAAGATGGAACTCGATCTAGCGCCGGGGGAATCGAGAGGATATTGGGAATATCTCACGCCAGAAGAATGTTTTAAACAGGCTAAAGCGGTGGGTAAATTAATAACGAGAAGGCTACCATGCTATTCGATTCTGGAGCCGAAGTCTCAATCGTAGACGCCACCTTTGCTCGTAAGGTGGGATATGTGATTGATGACAGCCAGAGACAGGAATGTGTGGTGATCGGGGAGAATGCCTACATGACGGAAGGACGCACTAAAATCAAGATCACATTAAACGGAACGCTGGTGCATTACTTTGACGTTTGGGTGGGCGATCAAGTGGGCCAAGAAGCGATTTTAGGTTTGGACTTTATGGTGCCAGCGGGAATACGGTTAGATTTGGCGGACGGCACGCTTTGTTTGCCAGATGAGGTGAAAAATCACTTGGCAGGGCGCAGGCCTCCGTATGGGGTAAACATGCAACCGATCGTTATCCCAGACCAACATATAGTAATTACTGCTGGAGAATCCACGGAGATGAGGATTGGAGCAGGTTTCCCTAAGTCCAAACTATGGGTGAGACGGGATAAAAAAATGGGTGCCGACGGTGAATACTGGACCGGGACAGATCAAGTACTTGATACTGACCAACATCGTCGATCAGCAGGTGATTCTCAATCACGATATCCCTTTAGGGTGGTGGATGATGACAGACGTGATACCCCGATTGCCGGGCTATGTATCAGTTGAATCACGCCGGTATAATGAACGGCGGACTCTAGCGTTTGAAGCTACAACGGAATCAACCAAGGAACACCCGATCGAGTATTCGAGGCACTTAGTGAATCACCCGTCATACCCCATCCCAAAGAAGATTCTGGCCCACAGAGATAAACAAGGAAGGAATATGGAGGGAAGCCGATCAGATCTGCTAGCCCCACAAGCAAAGATGACGAATGTCGCAGAACGCCAGATCGTGAAAAAGGATCGCCCCGACAGCGACGAGCAGCGATCACTAGAGGCACATGCCGTGGTCAATACTGCAGTGAAGGCATAAGAGGGCTATCGGTCACAGGAACACTCGGACGACGTCATCAGACAAGCACAAAAGATCGCGATCGGCGATGATCACCCGGT